GTCCTCACACACGTCAATGTTCACGTCTTCCTGAACTTTCATTTCTTCCAGTGTGGCCTGTGATTGTTGTGACTGCTCAGCCACAAGCTTATAACATACATTTATACAACACACAACTACACAACCACGAGCTAAACAATAAAAAAGTATATGTACTTTACACTCCAGAGCAGTGTTTGTGTGCCTGAAGTTAGCTGTGACTTCAGTTTATGAGTTGTTGTATGGATTCAGTTCAGACCAGCACATTCAAATATATGAAGCGGGAGAGAGAGAGATAGTGAGTGGGAGATCTTGTTACAATCTTATCCATCTTGGGAATGTTCCTCGGCCTGCTTTAGTTTCAAGCAGGACAAACACCAAAATACTTCATCCCAACTGTTTACACTGCAATTCTTCAAGCTTGGATCAAACTTTTTCAAGTTATAAAGTTTTACTTTGTGTTCATTTTTGTCACAAACAGACGTATCCATTTTTGAGTGTTCTCAAAGTGAGATTCTTGGTCAGTACCAGGTGTTTTGTGTGTTAACCTCCTCGTATGGCTCAGCATTTTAACAGTAACTCATAATATGCTTAACCTCGATGCCAAAAATAATTTTGAGATGGTGTTAATTTCCTCAAAGGGGAGCTAACTCATTTTAAAACGAGTGTTACTTCACAAAGTGTGCAAGCGGGTCGGTCTGGACTTGAATGTGAGAGATAAGGAGTTATATAACATTGACTGCTGCTGGCAAGGCCTCCCTTTGAGAAAAGACTTTTTCACATCTGCATGGCTGCATATGTTTTGCTGACCTCTATTCTTGTAATTCTTCACCTTTCTGTGGCTTTCCTTACTTCACATAGGGATGTGTCAGGCTAATCAGGGACAGTTAAACAGATAATTTCAGTAATGTGGGCCCTAGCTTGCAGAAACTAGGTTACTGTGAACCTCTTGTGCTCCATGGATGAAAAAGCACCGTGGTGATACAGGACATCGTCCTCTGACACCCATGCTGCCTCTGGACTGAAACAAACTCTGCAGTTTTCTAAACCACACCAACCACCACACTAGGGTCGCAGTACTGGCTCTTACTGGATCTTGTTTTTATGTATGTGAGCAAGTGTGTGTCTGCCTGCCTTTCTGTCTGCGTATGTCTGTCTGTGTGTGTGTGTGTGTTTGTGCTGCGCCCGTCTCCTGCTCTGTGTCCTTACACACCTCTCTACAGTGCATCCAAAAAGCAGAGGAAGCAACAGTCTGCTGTGGTTGACTCAAATAGAGTGTATAAACAACACCATAAATCCTCCCCTCAGACCTCTAAGTCCTCGCAGTTAAGGTTTGGATTCTTACATCTCCACCTCACACAGGTCAGACGGGACCACTAACCATCCTAGCAGTAGAGGTGGCTGCGATTCTGTGGCCGGCCAATCTGAGAACAATTTCTTTTCTCGTCCTTTTGAAATATTTCCCCCTGTTTTCTTGTTACACAACGAAAGAAAACAACAAGGACAAGGCACATTCATTTAATCAAATCAAATCTTTCCTTCCACCACAAGTACGCTGCTCTTCAAAGCCTCCTTTTCCAGCCTACGGTTGTTTCTATTTTTACTACTTTTACTACAGTCTTAGAGGAGCCTGTGTAACCCGCTATTTGTGCCATAAAACATTCTGTGATGATTGGGGTGGTTGTAAGAACTTGCGTTGAAAATGTGACCCTCCAGAGCCAGCATGGCAGTGAGCTGAGCAGGGTTAAGGCTGCACCTGTGGGGCTGACCTGAAAACAGCTTCTCGCCTACTGCGGTTCACCCACTCTGTCTGTGTTTACGCTGAGCAGAACTGGCCTCGGGACAAATTACACCACAGTGCAGACACAACAAGACGCTCTGTAGCCCATCCATGGCGTTAGACACGTGAAGTGCGCACATTTCACTGCTGTTGTCGCAGCACATAGGTGGTGGAGGAAGTATTTAGAGCATTTATTTCACTAAAAGTAGCACCGCCTCAATGATTACAATCACAATGGCGGTACCGCCACCAATATTGAGGTACAGTGCATTCAGAGTTTTAACTGAAATAAATTTACATAAGCATTGTAAGGTCAGTGTGTTGAAGTGTAAGAGTACACATTTTGCAAAATGGACCCACAAAAATGTTAACACAAGATGTATTTTATTATTGGATCATCACTACTGATCCAGAAATCCCTTAGATCCATGAAAGCTCCAGGCTTACTGTGTCAGCTGGTTGGTATGAATTGAAAATTTGTGTAGGAGTATGCACCAGTAAAGTACGATACTACGGGCTGAGAGCTAATACAAAGGTCTTACTTTATTACCACATTTTAATGTCTATTTTAGTAGTGTACAAATAAATCAGTTTTATCAATGGTGGACACTAACTACAGTAAGTGAAGCCAGAACTGTACTCAAGTACTGTTTTGAGGTAATTATATTTCTACTTTTTACCCCGCTACATTTGTTTGCGGTTCCAGCAGGTTAACCAAGATGAACTCACTTTAACTACTTTAAGTTCTATCAGGTTGTTTATTTCTGTAACAGTGTATGTTGTTTCATAAGATGATTATATGGTTTATATCTCCACAGCAACCAGCTGTCAGATAAATGTTGTGGAGAAAGAAGGAGAATATCTGCCTCTGAAATGCACAGCAGTAAAAATATCATAACATGAAAGCACTGAAGTTCAACACCCAGTAAAATATTCCAAACTCTTCTAGAGTTATTTTATTCAGTTACTTCACATCGATGCACGAGGTTCAAATAAATGTGAAATGTATAATTATTGTTTTGAAAAGATGTGGTGGTTACATAGTAAACTGTTATGTTTAAATATCTACTCTGTACCATCTGTTGAGTCAGAGAAACCTAATTACTAATGTTCTCCACCCAGACTTGCGTATGAAGAGTTATATAAGACCTGGTTGAGAAGGGAAAGTAACCTCATCCACTGTCACATTGGTCAAAAACACCACAAGGAGATATGTTTTCCAGAACCATCCATCCAGCTCTTCACATGGTACTCAGCATGCATAATACCACCGTGCCAACCATATGGTAAAAACCTGAAGGAAATAATAACATGATGCAACCATCCTCAGCGTGGGCCCCGAGGACCATATCCTGTTATGGTGGGTCTGGGAGAGGCCTGGTGCTGCCTGTCTGATGCAGACCACAGCCTCCCACTCCTCACCCGTCTGAATCACTGTTTACTTAGACAGGAAGGCTGCCCGCTACAACATCATCAACTGCTGCTGCTGCTCCATGTCTGTGACTCGCTTGTGGCTTTGGCAAGGCGGTGATTGTGTTTTCCCCGACGGCCAAGTTTCTAAAAGTGGAGACAAGTTAAAACCAAAGACTTAAGAGGAGCAGGGCCCAGCCTCGGAAACCACTGTTCCTCTGAGCTGTCTACCTCTGAGGCCTTATACGCCCCCTCCCTCTGGAAGAACTAAGCCCTATTCAATCAAAGTATTAACCAATCAAGAGCTGATTCGGTTGGTAAAATATTACAATGCCTGTGTGTGAAAAACTCACAGGCATAAACAAAGGCAAAAAAAAGAAAAAAGAAAAAAAAAAAAAGCACTCGGCCTGTTGGAATAAAAGTAATTTCCAGGTGAATAAATTAAATAAATATGAATAAATAAAATTGAGGGCCACCCAAAGCCTTTCTGGGGCCCTAAACAGAACTCATTCACAAATTTAAGTAATCTTAAACTACCAATGGGATCTGCTTATTCCATATTCGTTTCTGGTAAATAAAATGCATAAATAATGCTACTAAAGGACTGATGATTCATAACTGGTTCATATCATAATTAATAATTTCACCAGCTTCTATATATCATAGACCTGAGCAGAACGTCTCTCCATTTTTGGTCTTCGCATTACTCTGACCCAGTTTCAGAAAACGGAATACACACAGCAATCAGTGTTGCAAAAGGCATTCCTATATGGAGCCACTGTGTTTAGAAAAGCAGGAAAAATGTCAAACAAAACCCAAAGTCAAGGTACTGAAAACTATATTCAAAATGTGGTTTCCAACTGCATGGCCTCGTTTTCATCAGTGTGGAATCAGGTTGCCCCTCTCTCTGAATCTGGACCCCTCCATGGCCACACTGTGGTGCAGTTTCCTCTCCAAGGAGGGCTGGGCGGGGGTGAACCAAGCCATGTTGGTTTTGACTGGGTTTCCTGCTGTAGTAGTAGAGTATAAAATTAGAGTTTTATGTGAATTTGAGGGGGGTGGGACAGATGCGTGGTTGTGTTGGGAAACAGAGGAATGTAACCTACTTTAATGCCAACAGGCTCTTGTTTGTGTGGCTGGTACGTGACAATGGTGTATAAAATGCATGTGAAAAGAGACTATGTTTGTTGAAAACATATGGCTCGTGTTTACCAATTCACTGACAATTTAAGGCTTATGGGAGAAAGGCTAGGGCTGGATTGGGAACCAACAAGGACAAGAGTCAGTAAACCAACATCAGTCCTAGGTTTGTAAAGTACTAGTTTGCATCCTGAATGTTTAATCGTGTGCGATGGATGGAAGACAGAGACTCTCAAAACCAAAGATTACACAGAGACGCAATTAGGGTGAACTCACTAATGAGATCCCCCTTTCTGGTTGTAGGTGTGCTTCAGTGAGTCAGCCGGTGGAGAAATGTTGATGCAGAAAAAACCTGCAGGTTTGGAGCACATGAAACCATCTCAGAGCGGGATCAAGTGAAGTGAAGTGGTCTCGGCTGACACCTAGTGGACTGAGATGCTTAATACAGTTTACATAGTCAGTCATGGTGCATGTGGGACTGAAAAGAGGAAGTTTATACCTTATAATAGACATGAAGATGCAACTCTTGACACTTGAGAACCTGTTTTACATTATAACTTAAATATATGCAACTGTGACAAGTAGCACAACAGTGGCTACTAATCTTCACACAGTGTACAGCTTAGATAGAAGATGTTGTACTAAAACTAAAAAAGAAGTCAATTTACTACGAACCAGTTTGTATTGCTTTTATTATTAATAGTACAAACAGTGGGGTTCCAGGCATAGGTAGTGCATAGAGGCCTCTTGAAAGGTCTGTTACACAAATTTACAGATGCTGTGTATGGTGGGGGCAAAGTTTGGTGCATATTATCATCAATTATCATATTATCTGGACCCCAGAAATACAGTCAGTCAAATTTAGTGCAGACAATTTTTTGATTTTAAACAACATACCTGTTTTATAACATTCAACATTAACAGGGCATGAAGCCCAGGAACAACATATATTAACACTTTAAGAAAAGACAGCAAACGCACCAATTCTCCTCCTGGTCATTGTCTGATGACTGCAAAAGTGTCTTTGAGTCATTTGTTCCACTCTCGGGGAAGTGCTTGTGTTTGTGTCATCAGAGGTTGATAGTGGGAAGTGCCAGCATTTGATGATTTAGTCCATGTCTTTGGTTTGTGGTGAGCTTGGCAATCTCAGAGATAGAAGGATCAGTTTTTGCAGGTTTTAGCCCCTTTACTAAGAGTCACATACACTGTCTGTGAAGTGAACCATTTTCCAAAGCATATGACTGTCTTCAAGGTTTTTTGAATGGATTCTTCTTAAATTGTGGACAGCCACTGTGTTTCCGTTTCAAGAAACAACATGAGTCAAGATTAACAACTCATGTCCTCTAAGTTAAGGAAATTATATTACAGACATTCACAGTGTTTGCTGTAATACAGTTGGAAACGAACCAAAGAGGAAACAGGTGGTAAACCTGGACTGAAGTCCATTTCTAATGTCACAAATGCAATGAATGTGGCCTGGCCCGCACTTCAAACCGGCTGAAACCTGTTTTCGATGAGCGGCAACAAAGCAATAAAATCATCTACCTTTATTGTCTAAACTGTGGTATTGTGCAATAATTCAGAGCAAACTTGTCACATCAGTGAGCACTGTCAACTGCATTACTATGTAACAATGTTTTATGGTGGACAATGAAAAAGAAGACATAATGTTCTGTATTGTGGATTAAATGTATCAAGCATATTTCAAGTAGATTTCAATGGCAGCCTGGATGGAAGGGAAACATATTAAAAAATGCAAATGGTGGTGTGTTGGAGCCTGAGATGGATACCATGTGACTACAAAGACCCCTGTAGGGAACTGGTTGGAAGTCTTGACTGCGTCTCATCTCTCCTGCTCTGTTCCTGTCTGAATCTCTACTGTGCTGTCTGTCAAATAAAGGCAAAATGCCCCAAAAATTATCTTAAAAAACACTAATAAAATACTTGCGCTTTGGAAAATGGCCGCCAGCAGTAATGTGATGTACAGTTGATATGTAATAAATAGGCCAAAACATGCAAAAGCACCTGTATGGTCCTTTAATACAGCAGGGATACGGTACGTGGGGATCCTATGTTCTTTTAGCAGGTTTGGCAATAAGCTGCCTTTCTCTCTCCAGCTCCTTCTCACGCTGCTGCTCCTTCTCCAGCGCCTCCTTCTGCTTCTGTTGCTGCAGCTTCAGAGCTCTTTTCTGAGAGAAAAACCAAACGTCAACATTTAATCAGTCTGTGCATTATTTCATTTGCATCCATCCACCAACCTGTCCGAGAGCATGGGATTTAACTATGTTAATGCAAGCCTACCTTTAGTTTCGTTGTCTTTTCGTGGAGCATAATCATCTCTTTCCTTATGTTCACCAGTTTATTGTGGTAAACCTTCGCCTCCATAAACTAAAAGACAACAAGCTGGATTAGAAATCATTCCTGCTCTCTGGTACAAATGAGATTAAAATTCAAAACTTACAAACATACCAGTGAATTGAGGTCGGGTAAGGCATTACATTCTCTGAACTTGGTGACCTCTTGGTCCAGTGTGTCTAATAATATCAGCTGATTTTGTCTGGTTGAGACAAAAAAAACAAAACAACAAAGAGTAAAAAACAAATATCAAGTGAATTAAACTCATGGTGAAGGACAGCTACTGAATATCCTACACCAAAATCTACTGTTTGCTAATTATTCAGACAATGACAGGATATTCAAAAGTGTCCAATGGCTTTGTACATGTTTGTGAAGTTGTGATAGCATTATTATCATTTTTTTAACATGCATGTGAACACCAGCATGTTGTTAGTGAAACTACCAGCATAAAAGCAACTGTGCAACCCATCCATCTAGTTCTGCTTAACGCATGGTTTCCTGTGCGACCTGTCTATACTGGTATCTGCACGTGTCAGTATGTTTGTTTGTGAATCAGATAACTGACAGCTGCGCAGGCAAAGACTGCAGACTGTTTTTAGAGATATTTTACATATTTATCTTTACTTTCTTCATACACCAATTAATGGAAAGTTGTGAGGGAGGTATACTTTTTATTAAAAACTTTTTTACTGCTTACTTTCTAACCACCTTTACAGTAGGATACATGGGACCATCCTTATAAAAAGACAAACCAAAACACAATTTACAAGCAACTGAGTTTGAATGATTTCTACTTTACAAAACTCCTTCATCTCTTGGTGTTTTTTTTTAATGGAGGCCAAGGAAAAAGTGACATGAAACCTTCATACTTTTTAGACCAGTCAGATCCAGACAGTGCTGTTGTTGGGGCAAAACCTTTAATTGAAATCAGTGATTACAGTCTTTAGTCTGAATAAAACCAGCATAAACTTGCCCCACCATGACACACAATTACCTCATTCAGACAAGTAGTGGATGAGATGAGACAGGGTTTATTACATTTTTGTGGTGATGTAGTACTAGTGAAAAGCATAAACCTTAAATGATTGGCTGATTAATTGATAAATCTATCAACAGAAAAATAATCCGTAACTATTTTGATAATTGATTATTCGTTTAAATCATTTGTTAAAATGTCTAACTTGTGAAGGTTTTCTGCTTTTCTTTGACTTATGTGAGAGTAAATTGAAAATCTTTAAGTTTTGGAAATAAAAATAATTTGTCACTTGTGGCTCTGGGACATAGTGGTGGGCTTTTTGACACTATTCTCTGACATTTTATAGACCAAGCAATTGTGAAAACAAAAGATACTAATTAATTGTAGCCCAAAAAAGGAGCACTGTAAAGTATTCAACTCTCTACCTGCTGCTAATTTGTGAGGTGCAAAAGTAATAACAGAAGACTAAACAAGGAAACTCACGTGAGCTCTTGAAGTGCTCGTTTAGAGCTCTGCAGATCTGGTAGGTAGTGAGACAGTAATCCCTCTGTGAGTTTATCCACCGCTTTCTTATCCACAAACACATTCTCTACTGGCGCTGAGCTCTCCAGAAGCAGGGACGCCTGTCGTTCTGACTGGAGATCTGGCAAATATGTAGGAAAAATGTGTTCAGTATTTTGACACAAAAGTCCCCTTCCATAAATTTAGACAGCTGACACATGAGAGGAAAGATTGCATTGTTATAAGTGATCTACTGTATGTCATGTGTTTGACTTAAATAAGGGCAGAAAGCTGTACTTAAAGACACTGTGTAGACCTGCATGCAATCTGTTTATAAACACTTAATACTTAAACTAATTTTTTGAATCTCGCATAATGCTGTTACGTTACTGATTCAACACTCAAAATAACTGCTGGCCAATTTGTGTACACCAACTAATCGATTATTCAACTAATAATTGCAGCTCTACATGTACATGTATGTACCTAACCTTAAACTCTTAAAATAGTTTTAATTTTCAAGGCCCCTTCCTTGGACCCTGGCAAGTTAATAGAATGAATGAGGTGAATGAGGATGCACAAACTGGAGCTGCAGCTGGATTCATGTTATCTATACTGAAGTTCAAACAGGAAGATCAGACAGGTGTGGACAGACAGAGAACAGGTTAAAACGCACACAGACACACACACACCTTCACTCTGTGAAAGTTCACTCTGGGACGAAGGTCCTTCATCTTCCATCCCCTCTACCTCCATATGCAGCGACTCTGTTGACCCAGTCTGCTTTTATAACCTGAAAAGCGGCAGCAAGGAATCAGACAGAGGTTTTATCGCTGTTTTATCACCGTTTTACCAGCTGAGATATCACCTCAGGGTCATATTTGGTCAAAACAAGGGGAATCTAAACGTTGAGGAAGTGTTTAGCTTAGCTGCTGCATAATGTGTATGCCACATTAGCAGCCAGACAATATGTAAACATTCCAGCTCAGTCGACGCCATCTTACCAGTTTCAATGTATGTTTACCAACACATTACCTGCAGGTGTCAGGAGTTGAGTTTTGTTGACCCTAAGCCAGAGGAGAAACCACGGTTAGTGAGGTTTTGGAGTTTTGCTGCTGCGTCCGACCAGGCGTCATGTGATCCTGCGTCATCACGTGACTGCGGACGAAACCGAACTTGCTGCTGTGACTTCCGAGTCCGGAGGTGGTGTTTGGGCTCTGATGTTTACACCGGAATTACCACGAAAGTTTCAAATCTAAAAACCAACGAAGTTTATACAACAGAAACGTACACTTGTAAGTAAGTCCGGCTCATATTTCTAATCAAACTACCACACTAGAAGGGCTGTCTTTTAGTCGCAAACTGACACGACAAGATAGCTAACCTACAGTAGCTAGCTTTTTACTGTTTAGCCGAGGCTGTTTTTAAGATGACTAAAGTTTACTAGCTCATGTGGGGATGTGAGTGACTCAAGGACGTTTCTATAACATCATCTTCACAGTGACAGTGTAGCGAAATCGTGGGTGAAATTGTTAAGCTGTACTGAAGAGAATGATGCTCTGTGTGTGTGTGTTTTTTTTTTTTTTAGTATCACTGTCTTTTTTGTTGCTGTTCCAGGTGAGAGATGGAAATCAAATGCGACCACCGTTACAAGAATGTGAATGATTTCCTCGGAGGACAGTAACCTACAGACAGAGCTCATCTGTTTATACCTTGCCCGCGTGATTATTCAAGATGTCAGGTGGGAACCTCTTCAGCAAGGTGCGGTCCGCCTTCAGGAGGGAGCAGAGCGACTGGGATCTGAGCGACACGGCGCCTTTTGACTTGAACGATGAGCTTGTGGAGGATGAGACGCCCAAATTTAACAAGCTGAAGGTGGTGGTGTCCGGAGAGATGTCGGACTACTCTGCCGGAGCTCCGTCCAACGGGGTAGCTGTGAACACGCTGGTGGTGGCTGATGATGATGATGACTCCATGCTCGACTCCTCTTCGAGCCTGGGCAGCCCAGGGTTAAATATGGATCCCTGTGACTCCTGCACCAAGAAGAGGGAGAGGATCAAGCACAGGAGGGTGATGAAGAGGCTTGTCTTTGCAGCTGTGCTGTATTTAGTTTTCATGACAGGTGAAATTATAGGTAAGCAGGAGCAGAGTGAATCACACACTACACAATTATTTTATTAGTGCTGCAACTAGTATATAAAATGTCAGAAAATAATGCTCAAAGTGTTTCTCAAAGTTTTCCAAGTTGCAAGGTCTCGATACTCAAAGCTAAAAGGCTGGATTACCAACCAGTGGGCAATTTCAAAAGCCCTAAGTTTGCTCTTTATCATTTTGGTCAACATAATTTTATTAATCACTAACCTGACCAGTCCTCCAAAGTCCATCTCCTGGCCCCAGTCTAGTGGAGGAACTCTCAAAATCTAGTTTTAAGACCTAAATTATTTAATACATATGTAGAAAACCTCAAGCAAGCATAGTTAGTTTTACTAATAATCAGTAGATTGTTCAGTGAATAAATTAAACTAATCACTTAGTCCCTGAAGACCAAGTGAACATACAGACAAGTGACAAATTAAAGGAAAAACTATCATTAAGTGTTTCAGTGCCCCTTGGCATTGATTCTAACACCATTCTTACAATAGAGATTCCCTCATTTGTTGTTTTGATGATGGTGGAGAGTACCGTGAAATATCTCAGCCCAAAATTTCCCATGGATTTTTTTTTTTCTTACATGAGACAGAGGGCCTTTGTTTTCTGTATGAGTCAGTGGTTCTTAATAAAAAAGTGGTGACTGGAACATAGTTTTGTGATTAAGTTTTTGCTGAAAGTGTGTGACAGTTCACCACATTTTAAATTAGATTTCATCCTCCTAGGAGCACATTGGATCATATACTATTTTATGTCATTGTTTTCAGAATTTAGTAATTATACTCCAAGTGAATTTACCACATCCTGGCTCCAAAGAGTGTCTGTTAGTCCACAGCGTGTTACCTGGAAATCCAACTACATACTTCACTGTTGATATATATCTGTACGGAGCCATCCCCATCTTAACCTGTGCATTGTATCTCACAATCTGTGCATGCACAAATAGCTTAGATAAAGCTCATCATTTATCATTTTAACTGATCACATTGTCTTTTACCTTCAGGTGGTTATATGTCAAACAGCTTAGCCATTATGACTGACGCTGTGCACATGCTAGCAGACGTGGTGGGCATTTTGTTTTCCCTGCTGGCCCTCTGGCTCTCCACCAAGCCACCCACTAAGAGATTCACTTTTGGACTGCATCGCCTCGGTATGTCTGTGATTTCAGAAGCCTATGCACTTCTCCTTTTCTGTTTCCCTTTCTTTCCATCAGCTCTGTTTTGTGTGAGGTAAACAGATATATGTGGTTTTGATGCAGATGAATCATGTTCAAAGAAAGAAAGCATGTGTTCAGCAGTGTTCAGTCCAGATCAGATAACAGATAGGCTACTTTATATTGAAGTAGAGATGCAGATGATTTACATTCTACCAGATAAATTTAGCCCCCCACAGTCACATATTTATCATTTCATTTCAACTCCACTATGTGTCTAGTTTCCACCGGTGGAGTTTATCTATTACAGTTTGGTGTTTGGTGCCGATATACGTGTATATCTCAGAATGCTGACTGTCCTGATTTATTACTCTGTTTTAGTTTGTCTGCAATCAGTCAGGGAGATAACCACCATGGAACAACACTGTCACAGCAGGCGGATCCTTCAATGTGTCCCCGTAAGAGACTGCGTGTCACTCAGTCGCCTGAAGCTAGTGTCATGTAAAAAGCCTTATTTATACAGAACAGGTTGGCTAATAAGCAGCAGAGTTAAGGTATAAGATAGCAACTGTCCAAGAATGGCCCTGTAAATAGATAACTACGTGCAGCCAAACAACTTTGTCATATAAAAGTGGTGAGTCCTGTATTGTCACTAGACATGATAACAAGGACTGAAATTTAGATTTAATCTTGGGGCTTCAGAGTGGAGGCAACATCTCTATAATAAAGGAACTGAGAAAACTGCTTCTTAATCCTCTTTTTATACATCACAGGGAAGCTGCTTTCTGTTGTAGTTGATACTGTTTTCAAATGTAATCTAATTTCTCTTCAGGTCAGATTCGAACATATTCGGACTGTTACACTCTCACAGTTAAACCCGGTCGAAGTTGTGATTTTTACTGTAATATGTGTCTTTGGATTCTGAGAATAACATGCATTTCGTTTTTTTGTCATCAAGGGTTAAGATTAATGAGGACTTATTCCCGTGCTTAAAAGTAGAATAAAAGTGGAAAAATGATCACAAAACCTGTGTAAAAGAGTATTGTCCATGTAAAGGTACATTTGACAATCAAATGCCAAAGAGAGAATATTATTTATAATCAGAAACAGTATGTAGCGTGGATACTAAGAGCCTCCCCATCTTGTGTGAGGGTAAACAAGTTACTAAGCATGTTGTTAATATCGGAAGAGAAAGGTCTGACCCCTTTAATCGTGAGAATTGAGGGTAATTATACAATTTCAACAGACTAAATCATTTAAATTGTAGGTTAGTTTTAGGTTATCATATCTGGTAGGTAGAGCTCACTGCTACCTCTTTGAATCAGGTTTTTCTCACAGCTTTTATTGTTATTTTTGTGAATGTGCCTTGTTTGTACAACTGATTGTGATTTCCTGGCCCAGAGGTGGTATCGGCAGTCCTCAGTGTGGTGCTCATCTACATTCTGACGGCCGCACTACTCTATGAGGCGGTTCAGAGGACGGTACACCAAGATTTCAACATAGACGGAGATGTCATGCTCATCACTGCAGCTGTGGGGGTGGCTGTCAACCTTGTGTAAGTGAAACTTACTCCTATGTATACATTTTTTTTTTTTAGAGAAAACTGTGAGGATTTTTTTACTTAGATTAGATATAGTATATGTAGAGAAAAACAAGCAACACACAAACAAGCAAAAAACTTCAAAAGATAAGTCATCCTCTTCTTAATTACCACATTTACTCAGTAGAGAGGGAAGGCTTGTAAGAACCGTGAGGGATGAGAGGCGAAGCAAGCCACATATGTAAAAGTTTTTATTGTACTATATCCAGTTTCATGTACAATACGCATTTTGTGCAATACTTTATTTAGGGTAAACACAAGAAACTTGTGCTGTAGAAAATGGACCAGACTCAGTGAATAGCTGCCTACGTTTAACATCCTAAGTCCTATGATAACTATTAATTCAGCTATACAGACTAATGAGCAGTGATAACTAAAATGTCTTTGGGGTCGTCAGGTGGGAACCTCCTTTCACCAGTGTTTCGTCTAGTTGGTCCCACGACACCTCCAGGAGGCTAGACAGTGATCACTGGCGTCCCAGAGTCACTCCCCTAATGCCAGCCATCACTGCTCCTCACACCACAACTGTTTTCTCCTTTATCTTGCCTATGCTACCACAAACAACATCATCAACTCGGACAAAACCCGGACAAAACACACTAGCAGATTCAGCAAACAAACTCCCCTAACCAGTTGGAGAAAGTGGCGGCCATTTTGAATGAGGGAGATAGAGTCAAGGAGAGATGCCTTTTTGAGCTAAACTCTCCCCCGCCGGATCAGGCTGTGCTCTACCTCCCCCTACTCCCCCACTCTCCAACAACTCACCACTGACAGTCAAAGACACACTACAAACCAATTCAAAGCAATACAAACAAACAATACAGGCCAACTCACCTGAACTAACCGCATGGTCTGGTAAATGTATCAATACAGAGTTTCTCCATATTATACATTTGTTTACAGTTACTATCCACTCTGCCTTTGCTGGCAGTTAAAACTGTGAAGCTTTTACAAATGAACAAGTGAAGTGTAGCAACATGACAGTGCTAAATGCATTCTCGTGAGGGAGGCGTATCAGCAAAATTGTAACAGTTCAGTACAAAGTACCGTCGAAACTACTTTTAAGAGCCTGAAGTTGCTGATGTTCAGTGTGTAATGTTTGACCACATCCAGTATGTCAATGAATAACTGCAGTTTCTAGGTCAGTTAAACCATGATGTGTATTGGACAAAATGTACTGTATAGAATGTTATTGCTTAAAATAAATTCCTCTTTCTTTATTTTCTTGTCTTTAGAATGG